CCATGACTCTAGAATTTTGTCTTTTTTTCATGAACATTGAAGATTTATTTAGCAAGAATTTGCATGTATATGTTTACAGTACCGTTTACAGTCAAACATTTTGATGCACTGTAGGCTCAATTTTTGATAAATCAAAAATCTGAGAAACATAGTTTGTGTAGGACAGTCTGAAGATGCTCTGTAGCAAGTTTGGTGTCAACTGGAGAAAAAATTGTGGGAGGAGATAGGTTTAAGAAGTTTTACAGTTTTTGAAAAAAACAGAGTGATGAACTTCATAATTTTTAATAGGTTTAAATGTACAAAAGTTTCTTCAGTATTGGGGCTACAGTTTGATGAAAGTTGTGAAGTTGTAGCACGTATGGTTGATTTGTTATGACTTTTCAAAGTTTTGAACTTTAGACGCTTGCTGTAGCGCCACCATCAGGACTATTGGCTTGAGTTTACAGCTGAGGATATCTGGCATGAGACTGGACCTTTGTGCAAAGTTTGGTGAGTTTTCACCCATGGGAAGTATGATTGAAGAAGAAGAATATAAAACACACAAAAATAGTTCAAATAAATTAATATTTTATTTGTTTAATAATTAATAGAATGAAACAAATATTTAAAATATAATTAAAATGAAATATATTTAAAAAATGTATTTTATATTTATCCATGTGTTCAGACTACAGATAAAGAAAATAAGAAAATAGATAAATAATAAAAAACTGAAATGAAAAGCGAAGCAGTGACGACAGCCAGTCGAATGTTTTTGGCCTCTGATCAGACAAGTCGTTGTTTTTTTTGCTCACGGGCATCGTTTAATGATCAGGATCACCTGACAGATTGTGTTCAACTGTTTACACCTGAACACACCTGAGGACCAATCTGAAGACACCTGGAGACAGACAGGACGGAGGACATTCCTGCTGCACCAGTGTAAGTAGGTGTGTGTGTGTGAGAGAGAGGTGGAGAAGCCTGTTTGGCGGTTGGTCCTCACAGCCTGTGAGTGGGTGAGCGTTGTGTAACTCTGCAGTGTGAAGACATTTCACTGAGAGGTTTGCTGTGGTGCACTGCCTGCAGAGCCACACCTCCCTCTACCTCTGCTCTCCAGCACTTGAATAGGCAGTTTATTCTTTATTCCACTAAATCAGACACATTTTGTTGGTCAGTCATTAAGACGGGAGCGAGCTTTACACGTATCACTCGACAATTTAAATGTGCATGCTTAATTTAATCAGGGCAAGCCACATCGCATGCCCTGCGATGTAAATATTGTACCCGTGTGCATCACGATGGCGATGCTTAAAAGATATATCCTTCAGACCTAGTTGGTGGTGTTTCCGCCCTTGCATGTAATTACGGTGCGGCATAAATTGCATGTTGCACTGTTAGAGCTTTCGACCGCTTCTGTCTCCGCCATTACGTCTTCTTTGTTGCTGAACGTGCTGCTGACTGACGAGCTAAAGGCTAATGATGTCGATGAATTGATCCAGTTGGAACCAGTTCTCGATTCCCATCCCTAACTAAGAAGCAAAATCATTAATTATAAAAATGAAGCAAACTTCTGTCCTTTGTATCAACAGGCTGGATGTGATGGAGATCTACAGACCAACAGTCGGAGGTTGAACCATCAACATAAACTACAGATCACCTGTAAAACATTTTAATAAATCAATCTATCATAATTAAACAACTGGAGACTGAGAACAAACTTATTTATAGGACTGATAATATTTTAACAAATCGACATTAAATCAGACAGGAAGTGCGTGTTTCTGTGACTTCCTGTACGGACTAAGGCTGCTGGAAACTGTCGGGCCTTCCTGTTTAAAGGAAACTTGTCCATGTGGAGGCAAAGAGCATGGATACTAAGAGGCGAAGCTCCGTGGAATTTTTGCCAACAGCCACTAGGGGCGCTGCTGCCATTTTGGACTGTTGCGCCCAGACAACATG